ATTTTTTCATGAGCAATTTTGTCCAAAACATTTTTGGACCTACTTAAGCACCTTATTTAAATAAAATTTGGCTTAAATTTCAAATCTTAAACTTTATTAATTTTTAAATTATTCGAGAAGAAAATACTTACCCCGGGAACACACTATTCCCGGTCTCCTATATAGAATTGGGTTTAAACTTTTATATAAGTTAGTTATTGGATAATTAAAACCATAAATTAGAATTTAAGAAAGTTTCTTTTGAGAGTATAAATCATATATTATATGATAAAAATTATATGTGTGATCCAATAATAAAAAAATTTTATGTGTGATCCAATAATAAAAAAATTTTATGTGTGATCCAATAAAAAAAAAATTTATAGCCATATTGCATAATGTAATTATTCATATATGACTAAAAATTTTACCATTAGAGTTGAGTACTAAAGAAGAAAACCTCAAGGCTCGGAAAAACCCTTGGGCTCATAATATTCCCGATCTCCTAATATAATATTATTTTAGAATATAAATTTGAATTAATAAGAAAATATAATAATAAAAAAACAGGTCATTCGATATAATAATGACCTAAAGAATATATTTAAAAAAAAACATCATAAGTTTGTGATACCATTATCCACATATTTCTTCAATACTAAATAAAAATTATAATTATAAATTTGAACCACTTTTGTTTTTAATGGGCAGATAAGATATAATAGTAGTAACGGATATATTTTTAAAATCACTAAATCTACGAATACGATAACACTAAAATTGTTTATACAATTATAAAAAGATCTAATATTATTTTCTCGGGTCAGGCTAAAATAGATGTTAAAATAAAAATGAAATTGTGATTTTGTATAACGAAAATATATTCAAAAATGTGTCTAACACACTCAAGCTAGTTATCTGCAATTATTATGCTATAACAGATGTAATTTTCCTTGAGAATTGCAATTGATATTACTTTAGTGTTTTTATAGGAATTTCTGAAGTTCGTTCGAGTTTGACCGATATCAATAAGCTGTCAAATCACATTATTATAAAGAGACAGAATAGAGAAATTTAAGAATTCCGGGATTTTTCTGGCGTTTTAGTTTTTATCATATAGGAATATAAGAAAGTCATGGAAGAAATAACAAGTTAAAATTATTTTTCTTGTTAATAGAATACGTATAATTCTATCAGCATATGTATTGTTGATAAAAATTTAAATCAATTTAGTTGTATCACTCATTTAAAGAGATATTATTATATTACATTTAAAATATCAGGATTGCTAGAATGGCGATCATATAAAAGATATGATGGCAAACTGTGATCAGAAGTTCAATATTTGTAACATAATATAATATATTGAGCTTATAGAATTTTTGTTATTTGATTAAAATCAAAAATCATAGGCTTTAAACTAGAAATTAAGGGGATAGAGTTGTTATGTCATGCTTTATTTATACTCTGAGATGATTTCTTATTTAACTATACTCAAAAATCACATGAGCTGAGATATCACTTTGTTTAAAGCAATCTATAATAGCAAATAACTTGTAATATTGTTGCAGTATTCAAATATAGATTTAATACAAAACATTTTAATTTATATTTATAAATAAATATAATCGTAATTTTGATAAATTCAATATAAACATAAAATTTTAGATATCCGAGCATAGTGTTCTATCAATTAAAAAATGTAGGAAATTCATATAATGAACAAACTATTATTTTAAATGAGTCATTTTCTAAAGTTCCTTACTAGATCTGATTATTTTTGCATTGATATGAACATAACTTCTTTTTTTTCTTTTAACCCTAAATATGCTGTGATCAATTTTTTTTTGTTTCGTTTAAAAAAATCGAAACAGTTTTTAAATGGATAATTTTTTAAAATTCCTTGCCAGATCTGATATTTTTACAAATCCCTATTCTTTTATAGAATTTTTAAGATGTATATACATAAGTATATTGTGATTTAATCCTAATTTTAAATATAGCATTGCCTTTTTAAGATATAAATTTTAAAAAAATTTATATTTATTTTTAATCTAGTCATTTCTTTTTTGACTCTTTGATAATATGCTCAAAATTATTTAATAACTTATATAAACAAAAATGAGGCTAAATTTGGATTTTAATAGTGTTTAATATAAGTATTAACATTTAAGACTTCTTTCCTAGTTAGGCTCATAAAAATTCACATACATATATATATATATACATAATCGTAAGACAATATTAAAATAATATGAGACTTAATATATTTTGTATTTAGCTATTGTTTCACTGACTTCTGAATAAATATAAAATAAGGGTATTATAAATAACCATAGTTGCAGCGTATTAAAAAAATATATTGAGATATGTTTTAATTGGCTCTATTTAAATAAATTAATATTTTAGCCATATATTAACAAGTATCGAATTTTGTTACTAGATACCCAAACCTTTCTGTCATTTATGACAAAAATTCTCTAGGCTTGCATAATATTTTTTGCAAAGATTTAGGTTTGCCATTTTAAGTCAAGCAGTTTAACAACACTAAAGGTTTAGTTCATCAATAAAATCGTTCCCTCAAAACTGGTATATCTAAACTATTATTATAGAACTCTTATTTCAGAGTATAGAATAGTAATAGAGCTTATATAAAACTAGAATATTTTATTTTAAAAAATTAATCTTCTTAAAGTAAATAATAATTATAAACTCCTATCACATCTGCCCATACCAGCTTCTTTGATATTTAGTGATGAACCTCATAAATACAAACTTAATATTAAATGCATCTATAGATTCACAATGATTAAAATTACAAATATGGTTTTGCTAATTTTAGAGGAAGATAACAATTTAGTTATAGATAATTGAATAATATATTAATTTTATATTTTATAAATTTTTTAAATCACAAAACCCATTAGCACCAAATATAATAATTTGTCTGAAAAAACCTAAGCTATTTTTGATTTATAGATTCATATTAAGCATATTATTTAAAAATAGCTATTTCACAAACATTACCATTTGCAAATCGGAAAGTATTTATTTTAAAAACCCTCTTTAATTGTTATAATGCTAAATATATAATTTATTTGTAGATAGCGATGTCATAATCAAAAAAGGTTAATTAATTACAACTAGTGTTGTGATGATTTAATGAAACATGTTGACGATTAAATTAAAACCTATTTTTTTTAAACTTCTCTTAACTTATTATTAATGAATACCTTCACTATCTCCCGTATATTAGATTTTTCAACATCTACAAGTTTGCAACATTTAACATTATATTGCTTATTATATATATTTTTTGTCTCAAAAAATACATGATTATAGACTGGGCATTAATAGCAATAATATTTAAAACCTACCTGAATGAATTATCATCCATTTTTAAGTTAAATCCACTAATAATTACGGATAATGTGCCTATTCAGTGTGCCCATATAATAACTAAAAATTATCAAAATATTGTATATCTTCCACCTTATTCTTCGCAACCTAACCCCGTTGGAAACTTTTTTGGAGTTTTGAAAAATCAATATCGCTTTATATATCCCAAATCAAATAACAGAATCCATTTAATCGAGGCAATTTCTAGTCTTTTGCTTAATTTCATTAATTATGATTTCACCTTACTCACGTTCGATGCAATATGTTGAAGAAGGAATCAGATCTATTCTTAAAACGACTAATTTAATAAATAATTACACTAAATTATTATATATTATAAAAAAAATTTCGTTATATTAAGTGCAATACAAATAGAAGAATAAGCATTTTTTGATCTTTTATGTAAATAAAATAAATAAACATTAAATAAAGATCTCACAAGTCATTTTTTAAACTATAATATTAGAAAGGTATAGAAAATTAAATAAACAATGAAAAAATTAAGTTAAAAAATTTTCATAATTTGACCTTAAGTTTATCCAAAAAGATATTGTGTATTTATAACTCATCCAAAAGTCTTTTAATAGATAAAAATTAATTTCTTAAAAAAATATTATATTGAAACATAGTCCAAATTTATTTTCAAATAAAACTTAATTCTCGATAATTTTTTGCTATCCTGTAATTTAAAAGGGTCAGACATTCTATCAGCAAACTCATATTCATGCCAAAATTATTTAAAATTTTTTTATAAATTGTAAATGTGTTATTTTAATTATTTTTGCAAACAAAATATTTTTATATGGATGGTTTTAATTTAATCGTCAACATTTTCATTAAATCATCACAACACTGTAATAGGAATATGCGTATGTGTTGCATAATTATTGCACAACATCTACAAAATAAAGCTTTCATAATATGATATCCCTTATTATTTATTTGATATTTTTATAAAATATTTATAGAAAAATTGAGCAAGGTTGTGAGTGGTAAGGTCTTTTACTCTTTTACTGTATAAAGATTATTATAAAATATGTTTATATTTCTCCTAGATTACTTAAATTATTTGGATCTTTCTATCCAAGGTAGATTATTTTCATAGAATATTTTTTCTTTTTCTAATTTTAAAATATTACTTAAGATTCAAATTTCACAATGGGGATAAGTAAATTTAGAAATGATAATTATTTATGTAACATATTATTAAATACATTAGGATTGAGAAATAAAAAGCTCACTATTAACATAGGTATACTAAACATTTTAAAAAATTATCCATATAGTATATTTTTTAAATAGAACAAGAATATAGACTCACATGTAAAATACTTATATAAATGAAATTTTATATATAAATAGATGATACGGATAATACTAATAAATCCTAATTTGTAATAAATTACCATATTTCTACATGAAGCCAAAATATATATTGAACATTATTTAGGGGTTTTAAATCAATTGATGTACTTAAATAATTATAAAATATTTCTGATTTACAAAGGTTAGAAAATAGCTAATATAAAATAAAAGAATACAAAGCAGCTTTATATGAAATATCATAAAAGAAGAAACATAATAAAGTTAATTTATAAGGAAAAATTCAATTATATAATTCTATCCAGTGCAAAGCAAAAGTCTGTTCCAGTTTAGTCAAAGAATTTAAATTTTGACTGGATTTCTAAATTTGAAAACTAAAATAGACATAATACTAGATAATTAACCTGCTTTGGATTATGACCTCTGAATTCATTATGCGATTATAAATTTGAGAGATGAACCTTGCGCTGGCCCTGAAAGAGCACAGATATAAACGTGTAACCTTGTGGAACCTCAAATAGGGATACAAAATTGAATAGTCATTTGGCTTACTGCTTTATCCTGGATCAGTAGATACGTAGTTTATTAATCAAGATTTATCTATCTTGGCAAAAATATCCAATCTAAGATGATGCGAAGTCAATACACGAAAAGTAATATACATTATGGTTGCCATAAAATAAAAGAAGATAGCATTTTATAATCTATTGATAAATTGTAAGTTTGGCCCATTAATTGATGTATTAAAAATTTTCTTGCCTTGTATATTTCTATCTTAATGCAGTTGACATTTCATAGATTATTATTTTTCTAAAGGCTTATAATTTACTAAATTCATACCTTATCTGATATTAAAGGTAGATAACGACTTGTATCTTTTTTACACAAGTTTGATAGCTAGATAGATAACACAAGATTAAAATTTAACCTTCAGTTTGATTATTTAGTTAATAAATTTAAATGTTTGTGTAAGAAAAGAATCATTAAGTCAAACATCTTAATAATATTTGCGACCCTAAAAAAATTACTTTTTCTTATAAAAATAATTGGATTTTTTATTAAAAATAATCCCTCCTTAAAAAGTGTTGAATCCCGCCTAAACATGCCTATCTTAACATTTAATTAAAATTTAGAATCAGGATAAATTACCATAATAGTGTCAATATTTTTATACATGATAAAATTAAGATTAATTTGTGATTAAATCTTAGTAATTTTTATAAAAATATTTATAAATAAAAATTTTTTTAAATTATTTTGAAGTGTCAATATTTAAATTTGCATTTAAAACTTTTCATTAGCATACGAAAAACGTTTTAGAACCATTGAAGAATTTTATTTTAAATTTCATATATCAAAGTTTATTAGTTTTTAAATAATTGGAAGAAATTATCTGCCCTGGTTAACACAATGTATTTGGTAAATTAATCAATAACTATTATCTTTGTAATATCTTTCATTTTAAATTTACTTTCGCTATGGCCAAATACATTATTTAATTTAATATGATTAATTAATTTGGTATCAAACAAATAAAAAAAATAATTAAATAAAATTTCTCAACATTGATTACTGGTTACCAATTAATAATTATTCAAAAATTTTATATTTTTAATAAGAATAACTTTATCAATTAGTGAATAAATTGTAAAATTTATTATTTATTTTATGCAAATTTTAACATAAAAAGCTTTTATGAGTGAAAATCATTTTATTTATGATTATAGTGTTTATCTATCCTAATAAAAAAAAATTTCTGAATTCATGTTAACCAAATTTATTTTAGAAATAAACATCACAAGATAGAATTTAATCAGAGTGTTGTGTTTTATTTTAGCTTATATTTACATTTTTTAGTAAAGTAGGAATGATGATACATAGATGTAGGCCTATTAAAAAACGAATTTCGATTAGTGATTATTTGTATTCGTAAGAATAATAAAATCTCTTATTTGTATTCGATTCGAATAATTCGTATTTGAATCGAATAAATATTATTCGGATAAAACAAATAATTCACATTATCGTATTTATTCGAATCGAATATTCGAATTTTTTTTTGAATAAGCCTAATTATATTATCATACTACCTAAATATGGAATTTCTACAATTTTATAGTTCAAATATAAGTTTAATCATAAATATATGATTAAGAACAAGGGGTAGTGATTCATTATCCACTTTGAATTCGATGATATATTTTAAAATCATTTTATTATGTGAAAAGTGTGATAAATTACGTTTAAGTATTTAAATGATTATATGATAAAATTATTCATATATAGTGAAAGAAGCATTAGAACGAGGTCGTACTACAAGTAGATTAATATAATAACTACTATATTTTAAAAAATTAAATAATTATATTTTTAAATTAGAGATTTTAATTAAACGATTGGGTAAAATCTATATTCTAAATATATGACATTTTTAAAATCTTAAACAAATTAGAAAACAGGCGTTTTAATATTACTAATTAATTTTTAAATAACAGGTTTTGAGAAAATGATATTCAGGTCACTTTACTTTCTAAATGTAAGAATAAATTCCCAAAGATCTTTTAGAAATTATAGAAGAAAATCAACATTTCCAAGGTTGAGTTGCCAAGTGGGACCTCAACTCCACCTTTCATCTAGCACAAATAAAAGTATTTATAAAACTCATCAAATCTTATGATAATTTTAGGTGGTATCCCCTACTCTCTCTCTTGCTACATCACTGCCTACCTATCATTTAAATTTATTACAAGTTTTAGTAGATACTAATATATAAATATATTTATTAAATCTAGGACCTTTTATAAATGGCAGCATAGTAATACAGATAGGTAATAATTTATACATCAGTATTTTTTTAAATTTCATTACTATAGGCAGTGGCGTAGCTACGGGGGGGGTTTTCGGGTTTGGACCCCCCCCAGAGCAAATAATTTTTTTTTTAGAATATTCGTTTAAAAGACTCAAAAGTGACTTTATATCAAATAAATACCATGAATAATTATATTTTTCTGGTTTTGATGTTTGTGGAAGGATATTATTACTTTTAATTTTAAATATATATATAAATTATTCTGTATATTATTTTAAAGTCATTGATAATAATCTATTAATTTTAATAATATATTATTGATGCATTTTTAAAAAAATATTTATTATAAATTATCCAAGATATGGTTCGATAATAATAATATGAAATAAAAAAGTGCATAATCTACCCCCCCCCCCCCCTCAGAGCAATTTTTAGATTATTCGTTCAAAAGACTCAAAAGTGACTTTATATCAAATAAATACCATGAATATTTATATTTTTCTGGTTTTGATGTTTGTGGAAGGATATTATTACTTTTATATATATATAAATTATTCTGTATATTATTTTAAAGTCATTGATAATAATCTAATAAATTATAATAATATATTATTTATGCATATTTAAAAAAATATTTATTATAAATTATCCAAGATATGGTTCGAAAATAATAATATGAAATAAAAAAGTGCATAATCTACCCCCCCCCCCCCCTCAGAGCAATTTTTTTAGATTATTCGTTCAAAAGACTCAAAAGTGACTTTATATCAAATAAATACCATGAATATTTATATTTTTCTGGTTTTGATGTTTGTGGAAGGATATTATTACTTATATATATATATAAATTATTCTGTATATTATTATAAAATCATTGATAATAATCTAATAAAATATAATAATATATTATTTATGCATATTTAAAAAAATATTTATTATAATTTATCGAAGATATGGTTCGAAAATAATAATATGAAAATAGTGCATAATCTACTTTCTCTGCTTTTATTTCTAATAATATATATTTGGTTTATATTTTGTAGCATTTTTATAAATGAAATTATTAAAGAGATTAAATTTATGACTAAAAAGTAAAGATTGTTATTTCCTATTTACGAACTTTAAGATTGAAGGAAATGGACATTAGAAAATATTTACTAAGTAACAAAAAAAATTTACCAGCTAATATCTCATGCAATTTATGCCCTGTTGAAAATGATAAGCATGATATAAATACACGAGGTTAAAAAATATTTAATCCAGTGTACTAATTAATATCTTATGCATTATAGGCTCTATTGAAAATAATAAGGATGATGTAAATACACCAGGTCAAAATAACATTTAATATAAAAGATATTTAAAATTAATAGCTAACTATTTTTATTTTAGAATTTAAAATTAAACACCTAGTCATAGTTTTAACTAAATTAAAATTGCCAGTACAAACCACTTTGGGTAATTTATTATTTTAAATAATTTTGGCTAACCAAAATATTTTGACATTTATAAGATATACCCAAACGTAGGAGGGAAGAAAATGATCTTGATACACTCATTTATATACCCAAAGACCATATAAAATCACTACCTAGTACAAGTAATATAATCTATTAAGATTTAAATATTTTTTATTATAGATTTAGATATATCAAGTATTACATTTAATAAAAATGATGATAGTCAACAAAATGAACATACCAAATCACTAATTAATATAGAAAATCAAAATTTTAATGATGAACTTGATACCATAAGCAACAATTTACCACCCACATCAGGTATTTTATAATGACCTTATTTAAATGAATCACCAATTAATATAGAAAATCAGAATTTTAATGATGAACTTGATACCATAAGCAACAATTTACCACTCACCTCAGGTATTTTATGAACTTATATGACCTTATTTAAATGTATTCATTTAAATTTTAGAAATACCTAGATACTCTATAAAAAATTATGATAAAAATAAGCTAAATACACTTGATCACTTCAAATCTCTACCTAGTAAAAGTAATGTTAACTATTACCTTTAAATATTTATATCATAATTTTAGGTATATCAAGTATCACATTGAAGAAGAATGATAGTAGTCAACAAAATATTATAGGCTGTATCAATTTAGAATTTAAAGGTTATCTAATATGTTGTTTTATTTTAATTTATTTTTATAGGAATATCTCAATTAATATTCACACCAAGGGGTAAAAAAAATAGTGATAACAAACAAAAAAATACACTAAGTCACAACAAATCACTATCTAATAAATGTAATGTAACAATTACTTATTAATATTTACATTAAAATTTTAGATATATAAAAAATCTAGGGAGAATTTAAATGGAAATGAAGTTCCACTCATGTCAGGTATTAGTCTTATTTAAATTATATTTATTTAAAATCTTAGCAATTCCCACATACTCCAGAAAACTAAAGTATAATAGACAACCAATTATACTAGATCATTTAGAACCATCACCTACTACAAGTGATATAGTCTATTACTTTATACTTATAATAATCAAAAGTTGGTTCCAAAGCTAACATGTCATCTATGATTATTAGCCTAGGTTTCTCAATATTAATTTTAAACATCTATCATATATTGGTAAAAAAATATTGCCAACACAATTTTGATTTTTTCACTTTGAAGGATATCGACTTAAATTTACAGTTTAAAAAAACATTTATTTTTTAATCTATAGTTTTAATGTGTTTACTAATTATAAAATATATCATTTATAATTAAGGCAATATAATATTTATAATTAAAGCAATTTATATGTGTAATACTAATATTTATAATTAAGGCAATATAATATTTATAATTAAAGCAATATAATATTTATAATTAAAGCAATATAATATTTATAATTAAAGCAATATAATATTTATAATTAAATCAATATAATATTTATATTTTAAATAATCGCTTTTTATTTGTAAATAACTTCTAAAAGTATAATAAAATGAAACGTATATCAATAAAATTGTGTCAATGTGTTATTTTAATTAAAATTAGTGGCTCAATTTTAGCCGATATGGCTAACTCAATATAAATTTTGCTCATGGAGATACAAGTTTTATATTATTCGAGAAATCTCTAGGCTTGAACAATATTTTTTGGCAAAAATATTGAGTTAGCTGTTTATAAAAATCAGCTCAAGTCGAGCCGTTTAACAACACTAATTAAAATAATTAATAATTCTAGGACTTTTATATTATAAGAAAAACCAATATGATTTTTAAGATAAACCCGGCCGAAGGCCGGGCAAAAGAGCCGAAGGCCCGTAAAAGGGGGTCTGGGGGGCGAAGCCCCCCAGGCTTTTATAAATGGACCCCCTCTAAGGAAAATTCCTAGCTACGCCACTGACTATAGGCAATATATAATTCTAAATATAAACCATAGTTGTGGCCTGTAAAATGATTATAACCATCATTTTCATACACCTAAATTCAAACTTATATTGTCAATGAAGAATATCATACATAAAATTTTTTTTATTCTAGGAAACAAAACCTTTCGCGAACAATGTACATAATTATAATTAAATCCTATAATTTCTTAATTATAATATTTAGTCTCAAAATATATTGTTATTAAGAGTGATATAGTATATTAAAATAAGGGCCCTACATCCCTAGAATATACTAAAAAATATATTATTTTTAGAAATTAAAGGATATCTCCTACAGCAGAAAGGTATTTAATATTTAATTAACATAAATATTCTCATTGTAACTATCTTTTTAAGTGACCTGATAAGATTCCTATTTCCAGACAATCTTTCTTCACTTTTTGAATATTTATATAAAATTGTATGTAGCCTTATTTAAATCATTATTTCTGCTGATTACTTTCCCTATGATTATTTATATTTGGTATGATTCAAATATATATGCCATATGAATTTTTATATCATATAAAATATCTTGTGAGTATTTTTCAATATTCCCAACACCATATCCAATGATTTTTGGGTGATTAGAGCGTAAAGGGATAATATGCTTAATGCTCTTTTTGCAAAAGGAAGTGAACTAATTCACGAGTTTTATTTGGATAAAAATCTAACACCAAAATAAATCTTAACCTTCGAGGTAGTGCAAACATGGATATTTACTTATATTGATCCACCAGTAAAGTCTCTGATCTTCAATTAACAGATTTGATTTTATATCTTATTTTCTCTCCTCGTATAACCAATAAAATTCCTGGTTTTATTGGTTTTATTAGTTTTACAAAACGTTTTTTTTAGTAAAATCATCAACTTTATAAATGCTGGTGGACCCCTAACCTTACGTTGTAATCACTTTTAAAAAAGGATTAGCTTTTCATAAAAATATTTTGTAAATGCTCAAATTTTTCTAATTTAATATCATTAATTAAATTAATTAATTTTATCATAATTAACCTCTATTTTAATATATTTTTTACTTTAATTTTTTTTTAAATTTTTGAATCTGATTTTCTTAAATGTTATGTCACCGCTTTAACGTCAGGACACAGCTAGTTGATTTTTCCAGTTATTGTAATTTAAGTTTCACAATATAAAGAGACTCTCTTCTTAATTATTATCTTAATACAATATAATCGATCTCTTTCAGACAATCTTTTATCTATTTAAAATAAGAATTTTATATCATCTTAAGTTTGAATAAAAATGATATGTTAAAGAAAAATTAAATTATAAAATATACAACAATCATTTAAAATATTAATATTCCAAACCATCCTACTTTATATCTAATTACAACCATCAACAGAAAAAAAAACGCAATAAAGGATATGTGCAAATAAAAAAATTATTACTTAAATTATAAATCATCATATAAATATTTTATTATATTAGGAGGCCCGTTAGTAGGCACAGAGAGTTTTCAAATTTTTAAATAATCATCTACAATCATTATTCCTCATACTACCAATCAAGCTTATTTTATCTTCACAAATGCTCTTTTAATTCCACAAATTGGTTACGCATTTGAAACTCTTTTAAAAACTATAAACAAAACATTTTAAAAATGATAATGTAAGGTTATTAAATATTAAATTCGCTTCTAACTACTGGCTTCAGGCAACTCTTCCTTGCAAATCTGGAGGATTAGGAATCCCAGGGAAAGTCAGGTACAAGAGAGGCCGAGACAAGCATTAAATATTACACTTATTTCTTCCATATCTCCTAAATAATTCGTAAAACACATCATTTGCCAAATCATTTCAATTGATAATAAATGTTTAAAGAATAAAGCCTTAATTATTGGGACATCAACCTTATATCTAAGACTCATCAAAGCAAAAAGACTGGGATCTTGAATTCTTCATTCCTTCGCTTACCTCAACTTGAGCGATAATAGCAAATAAACAGAACTCTCAATTTCAACAATTCCCGTCATGAATAGCTTGATCCTACCCTAGTATCTTAAATAATCAACTAATAGGTGACTCCACTTTCGTTATTCAATCAGTTTGCTTCTGGGTATACTATTTTTAAACCATTATCAACAAATCACCTTAGACGCCATGCGATAGATTGTAAATTCATATTAGAAATTAATCAACACCACAAAATACATACACTTATTGTTTTTAATTTTTCTATATAAGTTTTTTTTTATGTTATAATATTTATTCTTTAGATATTTTCGTGTGTTATTTTATCTAAATTTTCAATATATATTTTTTAATTAAAAATTATATATTTGAACCTTTTTTATAAAACCATTCTATTGCCTCAATTAAAAAACAATTGAAAGTTAAAAAAAACTATCTCCATAAAAAGTTACATATTTGTGTTTACTTAGAAATAATTGGTTATTATATTTTCAATATCACGTTATAGACTAAAAAATAAAATAATAATTTTTCCAATGTTCTATATAAATATAAGATTCAAATATATTATAACTTAAGAATATAATCAAAGTAATTACATATATTTATTTATTTTTTCAGGTGTAGATATAAGAGATCTAAGTAAATTTTCTATTTTTATTTATTTTTAAATTAGCAAAGTTGAAACTAAATTTGCTTTTATTAAGCTGATAGATATCACATAAAATGTCTATCAAATTTCTTAATTTTCTTAATAAAAGTAATTTTGTTCCTAGCATTCATTTTTGAATTCAAATAGGCCAAGTTTTAATAAGTCCACTATAATAAAACGTGTATACATCATGTATAGGATCTATATATTAGTGTACATGGTGCACGCTACATTCCTGGTGGGTGATAAAATTGCACTTCGTTCAATTTCTGCGTGGTAATGAATGATTTAAATTAAAGGACTAAAAATTTTGTAGAAAAGGTATAATTTGATTTATAATCAACCTCCCAGCAGAGAAACTTATTCACAACATTAATTTCCCAGAATATTAAATTGTTAGCAAAATAAAAAGATTTTCGCAAAATTAGTAAATATATATGAATCCGATGTAGGATAATTGTAATATTCTCTGATATTATTAAAGTTCTATTCAATTAAAAAATGAAAATGTATTATGCTCATGTTTAATTAATTTTTTTCATCAAAAAATCTTTATTTAGTTAAAAATATAATGATTTGTAAAAGAGATTCAGGTAAGCCACCCTTTTAACGAATGATATATAAACATTACCAAATTCATAAATATTTATTTTATTAGTCAATATCACTTGCAGAAAAGAAAGTATATTTATTAAATTAAGAGACATGATTGTCATTGCAATCAAATATATTATTTATTTATAGATGGCGATATTATAAATGCCACAATAGGTTTATCAATAAATTAATTAAAATTTGGAGATTGTATGTATTGTATAATCATTACACATTTTTTAATTTAAATAACATTGAACTAATAATTATTTATAACTTTGTTTTATGAATATATAGAAAATATTCCTTCCATTTTAAATGGTATAATTTTTCTACAAATTAGCATTTTAATATAATATTTATATTTCTTGTAGAGTATTTAAATCTTGTAGAGTATTTCATCGAAAATATAATATTTTACCATTTAATAAATATTGAACTAAATGTTATAAAAATATTAAATGTTAAGGTTCAAATCTGTGGATTGGAATAAGTAAATTTATAAAAGACATATATAACAATATAATTTATTGTTCAAGGATTGGTAAAAGGAAACCTCACTTTTAATCTAGGTAATATAAAAATAAAAATATATTTTGAAATGAATATATTTCTAACACAGAACAAGAGAAGAAACCCAATTGTAAGAGATGACATTTATTCATATGAAGGAAATTATCATATTTATAATATCATCGGGGTAGCCAAAAAATTTCCGTTAGGGGGGGGCAGCTGCTTACTTATGAAGGCCATTATTTTTTAAAAATAAAACAAATAATTAAGCATTCATAGATATTTTTTGCTATTTTAATTAAAAAATTATTAATGTTATAAGAATACAAAATAATACTATAATAT